TCCGTGTATTTTCACGAAGACATGTGGTAGTACTTGCAGAAGGCAATTTTTTTTTTTTAAGAGAATCCTTGAGAACAAAGAAATGGAACAAAGTGTTAAACATATAACCATCCGGGTTCTGGTAGTTACAGGGTTGACTGCGAAGTCAAGACGAAAAGCCGAGATGAGGTTTCCCAAGGCAATTTCATCCACTTGTTCGACCGGTTGATCGGCGAACATTAGTTGGAATGCAAAACATGCATCAGCTTGATGCATGCATCAGCTTGATGCATGCATCCCCATCAGCCTACGTCGACAAAGCGCTCGAACAAGTTGGTGGAATTTCCTTCGGAGAAGTTGCCTAAGAATGGGTTCACAAAATGATGCATGGCACACAGGAGTCATAACATTCTTCTGCCGCGTCTTGCATCTGTGTTAAATTCAGCGCACGTATTTCCCATCGAGACTGCAGTACATGCTGGAATTCTCTCTCCGTAATATCGCGGTCTAAAATAAGTCTTCTGGGAGGAAAAAGGGTTAATAAAATCATTTAAATTTGAAACCAAGAAGTTATAATGTATATGTCGACCGCTTAGAGGAAACTCATACATTTTAATTAATGTTACAGAGTAAATAATGTCGATCTCGACTGAGAGTAAGAAAAATGCTCGTCGAAGAGGCTGGCTTTGCCTCTTCTCTCATCCCTCGAGTAAATCCACTTCTTGAACCCAAGTGAGTTCACAGCCTTTTCAACCTCATTTGATGCAGGGTGTAGGAGGTAACGGTTTACGCAGCGATATCATGCTATATTGTGTAACAAAACCCATAAGAAGACCAGACATGATTATAACTACGCATCACCCTTACTCTTTTTCCTCCAGGGTGAATAACTGATGCAAGTGCTTTTTCTGGTGCAATAAATTATTCATGGGAGAGTGAAAGTTTCATGAGCATTAATACAAGCAATGCCCTGTGTTTGCAGGAGGAAACCAACTGTTGAGAAATTGAAAGGGTTCTTGAGTGAGATCCATTCGGGAGCGGCGGAAGTGAGATTGGGGTCATCAGGGGATGGGAGGGGAACAGATGTCATTTGGGAGTGGGAGTGAGACTCGAGTCATTTGGGGGCGGGAGTGGGACTCGGTCACTTGAGTGAGTAATAACATTTGGGAGGGAGGGACTCTAATTCTCAAGTTATTTTTCCATCGCAGCTGTCCTTCCATCGCAGAACTGGATCGCTATGAAACTCCCTGCAGCGCCTGGTGTTCTTTGCTTTTGTTTCCGAATGATTCAATTTTTCTCCCAAATGAACCGCGATACCCACTCGGTGCTCATGCCTCTTCTAGGAACATAAAATCTTCTTTCAAGGATCTTCCCAGCAAATTTCGTGAATACGTGACTGGCATGATCAATTTCCTTGACTTTCTCATATATTTCTTATGGAATCCGAATGGCATAATCTCGTGGAAAGTCCTTGGGTGGAGGTGGAGGTTTAAAGCTGGCATTGCGCGGTCAGTTTTACGCAGTCCATCCCTTATCTTATCCAGAAGCGCATTTTCATTTTTTAACAAAACACACCGATTCAATATGTCTTAATTCATGTCGTTCATCCTTAAAATATAAAAAATGAGGTTTTCTTCGTCGGGGTTTCGAGCAGCAAATAGATGCCGTCACCGTGATGCCACGTCGGCTCTTTGTAATATAGGTATTTTTCATCACTCCTGCAGACTTGGGATACGATCACCGTTTCCTTCAAATGAAACGTCATGACGGATACCAGAGAAGAGAAAGGGGTGAAAGGGTATGAATGTAGAGGTATAATTTGCTATTCCATCGTCTGGAGAGGGAAAAACCATTTCTGGTTGGATCCAATTTCCGGGGTTCCACGTCTTCTTCCTTCTCCCCCGTTCTCTAATCCCGTCATCCCATAGGATGCCTGAATGGCTTCATAGCACCTCCAGAATCCTTTCTGCTCTCCATGTCCGGGATGAGAGCAGAAAGGCAAGGGGATTTCCCTTTGGACTGTTTTCCATCGCATGCGTATATGTCGTTCCTCGATATCTTATGGAAAATGGGGAAGACGGGCCGCGCGCTTCTCTCTCTCATTCTACTATACTGAAGCAGGAGAGAGAAAGTGATGAGATGAGGGGACTGGTCCTGCATACATGCATGAAGGAATAGACTCAATAAGCTCTTTTCTTTTTTCGTCTATACCTCGCCTGATTGTGATACAAGGAAAGATGAAGTAGGAAAATGATTGCATCCTGCGTCTTATGATCTTGGTCTCTATCCCCTCAAGCTACGAGGCAGCAAGATGAGAAGACAAGGTTTAAACTTAGAGGTGTGCTGTGGTGAATTCAACATTGAACGAGGAGATGAAATGAAAGAAAACCCCTGGCTCACTATCATTCCTTAAGTGAGAGAATGGTTTCTTTGCTTTTCTTTCTGTTCTTTTGCACCTGATTTCATCTCACGACCACCCTCCTGTACGTATGCATGCAACTAACTGACGATGGAATGTGTAATTTCTCATGTTTCGAGAGGAGCGATGAGAATCGTGTGCAGTTAGTTTCACTACTGGAATGAAGCGGCTCTAAGAATTTCTTTTAATGAAATACTGATTTCTTATGGATAATGGAGAGCTGCGCAATCCCTCTGTTCCTACCTGGGATTTTTTCTTGACCACTAACACGCTCAGGAGAAAGTAATGAGTTGGAGCCAAATCGTGAATCGACTTGGATTGCTTCCGAAGCTATCGATAATCCTTGAAGAATTATATCCAGGTAGAAGCATACGATGGATATGGTTGGCTGAGCAATGAACTTCGGAGATCATCTGGGATTCCTCAAGGATCTGTTCCTGATTGGCTCCTCTTTCATGTCGCATGACGTCAACGGCATACCGAATGCGGTTGGACGATGGAGAGGCAAAACGATAGGAAGCACAGAATATGGGTTCAGATTCCTTGATGTCCTTACAAAGAACGCGAAATAAGGATTCGGATAAGCCAAATCCAAGAGGACCCTTTCCTAAGCCGAAAGGAACAACGTGTACACCGATAGAAGATGATGTCAGTTGCGATAGCGTAATGAGTTGGCTTGAGGTTCCTCCGCGGTTCACCTGCAAATGTCAAATAATCAAAAAAGCTATACTTTTGGATAAAACTTTGCCAGAAACAATCCGCTAGAGGGCACATTCCGTTTTGACCTGGGTTCGTGATTCAAGGTTTGAGAAAGTATATCATGAGGCATTATGGCAAATTATTGCAATTTTAACACATTGCCAGGATGATCCCCCTGCAGTTGCTGCATTCCCTATTGTACCCTGAACATTTTGGGCTCTTCGCTGAAGCAAAGAAGGGATGGCATTTCATCACTAAATCGCAACAAAACCCCGTTACAGTAAGAGTACCAAGAATACCTATTATGTCTTGGTCATAAGGCCTGTGAATTTGTGACGGACAGAGATGGGGTCGGACGAATTGCGACCAAATAGCTTCAATTCCATTCGTAGCGATATTCTATGGCATAAACGACTCTTAATGCATCTCTCAACAACGTGAAATCCCAGTAGCGGAAACCGCACCTAAGACATAACCCTTAGGAAAAGGATGGTCATTTCCCCATAGGAAAAAAGATGGCGCGTTTCCTTTTCAACGCTCTATCTATGGGTGGTTTCCTTTTTAAAAGAAGGCTGCTAAGTATGAAAATGTGGCAGGTACTTCCTCTCCGATATGAATTCCTTCCACTTGATTTGAACTTCCCTCACTCGATGATTTTCTCTTATCCTCTGCTTCCACTCACTGACTGCTTCCAGTCAACTAGGATCGAAGCACGGAAGTCATTCAAGACCAGTAGAGACCTATTCGGGCTGAGGGCTATTTAGGGATCATGGATCATCATGGTATCGATGCTACCGACATCGAGAATTCGGCTTATAGCCCAGGTAACACGGAACGGTTGGGCCAATGTTGAGGGGTTGTTCACTTTTAACTAGCCACGTGTAGAACCACTGATGGAAGCCGATATTGAGACACTGTTTGCAAGTCTTTCGGCCCTCTGTTGGCACCCTGTTGCCACACTTCGTAACTTCTGTGTACTGGCCAACTGTCGCCTTTCCAAACTTGCCGCGAACCGGTGCGAACAGCTCGAGAGATACGATAATAGAGATAATTTACCAAATCTATTGCTCACGATTGTCCCTAGTTGAATCCTTCAACCACGGCTCTCTGGGTCACAATTTTCTGGAATCTCCCTGGCCTGGTTTACATCTCCAGGCAAAAGCACTGAGGAAATCCAATGTCTTACATTTAGCTGCCAATGGGATAAGTTCAAATATCGCGTGAAAAGTATTCAAGACACATGCCGATTGCATCAGGGAGTGGCTCGCTATTATTAGCAATCGGAGTCTTGGGAACCTTCCCAGGTTGGGCCAACGTGAATCCAACATACTGTGATACTTGGGAACCTTCAACTGATACGATTGGATTGCAAGCCCCGGAAGTACAAACTTGTCCCCTCTTTATCCTGGGCGATCGTGTGATTCTCAGTATTCTCCTGACCAGTGGTCCTTGAGATGGAAGTGAGGGTTGTCGCAAAAGCATTCCGCTGTGCTCATGCGTTTTTTGCGCTGACTGGGCCCCCCGCTAACGATTGCCAGCATAAGATTAGTAGAAATCAAATCATGGATACACATGACCCATGCATACCAGTTGTGCGACTTATTTATCTGTACCAGTCGACGGTTAATTCCTTCCATGCTAAAGGTAATAATAGGGTATCCGAGAAGGGGAAGGGACGAGGAGAACTTGACCTGGGGAATGTGGGGCTTCATTCATGAAGGAGCGAATAAATGGAAAGAAGGAGAAGAAAGGCGAAACTTGGGAGAGTAGAAGCGAGGATATGCGGGCGAGTATGTGTTTTAGGCGAAGCAGGAGGAGAGGAAGGAACAGCATGGCTCATGCGCCTTCGTAGATCAATAAGAAGGAAGGAGAGAGGAGATATTGGGACTCCCTGGGAGCGAGCGAGAGCCGGAGCTGGAGCAGGAGGGAGTTTTAAAAGAAACAGACAAGAACCACATGCCACGAGGACTCGGTGGACTCACCCATCGGTGCCCTCCGATGGCTTGGACAGCTTATGTCAATCTTCAAGTGGTTATACCTTGAGACGGACCCGTGCAAGAGCTCCGTGAGTACCCGATTCTCCTACCTCTGCAGGTTTTTAATGTTCGTTGTTCGTGGAAGCGCGTCAATTATCGGTAGAAAAAGAATTCACTCGTTCATTCGGTCTACTGGCATGCAGCCAAGACGTATAACTTCTTTGACAGCTGGTAGCAGGTGCCTTTCGTGATTCCCGGATAATTTCTCAGCTCAAATTAGTTCAACTGAGACTTCTTACCAGTGATTTGAGTCCTTAATGATAGCGAGCCTTTCAAAAGAGAAGTGAAAGTTGGAGTAATCATCAGTTTCGGGTACGAAGCCTCGATTTCGCTCTCACCCTATGGGAGGAAGGCCCCCCATAGAGTCAATCTCGTCGGAGGGACAAATACATTGATTCCAAGAAAATCACGTGTCGCACCGATTCGCTTGCCCTCTGTAGATGACTGTGAGGAAGCACAAAGAAGAGCTAGAAGGAAAGGTATTAGGATTCAGCGTAGAGATGACTGGGATGATGAACGTGATGAGAAATGAGGAAAAGGAGCTTAGCTCCGTCGCACACACTTTTAATTCAATGAAGCTCACTTCTTCCGTGCAATTTCATTCCGGCACAGATTAACACCCGTCTCCGATGGATGATGTAGACCTACTGTCCTGTCTAATGAACTCCAGCTCATTATCTCTGATGGAACGAAGAACATCAAGCGAACCTTGTTCGTCGAGATCGCCCTCTGTATCATAAGGATTGATGACCTAGACAGATTACGTTGAGGAGAGTAGTGGCAGATGAAAAAATAGCTCTCATGATATAAAAAAAAAGAAAGGAGAGCAAAGAGGAGAGAATCGTTGGAGGTGGTTGATGAATAGATTCCGTGGCTGTCACACAATTCCTTTCCTTGTGCCAGAAAGAAGAAAAAAGAGACGTGTGTTTGTCTCAGGATTCGGATCGATGGGGTCACCCTTAATCTTTGTATTTCTCCTTGGAGAAACTTTCAATCGCGTTTCTCGCCATGGCAGCTGGAGAATCGGGTGAGATTTTGCATGGAAGCTGGCGATGCTTCAGGCGTTGGTCCTTCTGAAGATGAGGATCGAAGCCTTTTCGTTATGGATGTTCGTGAACATGATGTTCCTGGGTATGTGGTGCTACGTCTACATCCTCTGGGTCCAATATTGGCGATACATCGAGACGCACCCGGTTGAGTGGGGAGCATCGTCGGGTGCGAATGCGAATAATTCGGGCCAGCAACATCCGATCAACCCCTTCGGATTCCCGGAAGAGATGGTCGATTTCATAGTGCATCGCCACCACAACATCAATGCCTCATCGGACTCGGAAGACCATCTCAAGCTGACGCTATTCAAATCCCAGCTCTTGATTCAAATGAGGAATGCCCTAATCACGGAAGCCAAGGACCACCGTAATCCATACGGTGTCACATATCACGAATACGGGAAATCCGTGAAGAAAATTCGGACCATGAGGCGACTCATGTGCGATTTGGGTCGCGTGGGACTGAGGACGTTGTTACCCAAGGACGAACCTTTTCACTCCATGGGAATGGGAAACTTACTCCAGCCTTCCAATATCTTAGATGGCGTCTTTTTCAATACCTGTGCCGTTGTCACAAATGCTGGATCTCTCAAGGATTCCCGAATGGGAGAACACATCGGTGAGCTTCCACTAAAATTGTTTGATTCGTCATTGTCATTCACGCAATCTTTCACGGTTTTAAGTTTTCTTTTTTCTAAGTAATCCTCCGGTTTATGCAGATTCCCATGATGCAGTGGTGAGGTTCAACCACGCTCCCACGTCGGGGTACGTGAAAGACGTTGGAAAGAAGACAACGATCCGAATCGTGAATTCCCAAATCTTGACGAAGCCCCGTTTCGAATTCATGACTTCTCCTCTCTATCGAAATGTCACACTCCTCACCTGGGATCCCTCCAAATACAAAGCCTCTCTCACCGAGGTAAGGCACGTGAAGGAAGGAGAGTTGGGATGCTAATATTTACCTTCATTGGGAGTATGAGAAAGGTTCTTAATCTACTTCTTGTCAGTTCTCGGAATAGAAGTCTGCCTTATTCCGAGAGGGTGAGGATATACTCGGAGTCGAAACAAGACAAATAAACGGTTACGCTAGTGGGAAAATCTTCCTGGGTCAGGGTAAAAATCCTCGAAAGAGAGATCTATTTTACCTCGTTGTTAGATGAGGAAAGAAAACTAATTTCTTTTAAAGCAGATCTTTCTTCTTGCGTGTCGTTCTTTCTCTCCTTCTTGGAGACTGCTTGTTTTTTCCTCCCCTCTTCCTCCCCACACGCTGAGATTTTCCTGTGAGGTCTCCCTTGCTCTATGTCGGTGGAATGAATTAGCCTCCTTCCGACTGTCATGCATTATCTTTCCACTTCTTAGTCTCCAGATCGGTCTCAACTCCGTTGTAAATATCGTCAGGCCATAAATGAACGGAGAAGTTATAGCTTTTGCGATTGTTCCACTTTATTGTGATTTGGAAGTTGCAGCGAAGAGTCCACAGAACGCGCTCACCCATGAGGAGGAAGCCAACGCAACCAGGGAACCGTAAGGAAAGAGTTGGCTTTCTTCCTCCATCTCCCCATACAGTAACTTCTCTTTTTTTGCCCCTTTCATCGATTGATATGGAAATATTTGCCTGGTCGGAGATGAAGCAGCCATTCATATCCAGCTCGGACAAGCCATGAGGGGAATTCGGCATCCCTTCAAAATCAATGTCTAAGTTCATCCCTTCAAAAGGAGTGATGAACTTAGAATATTGTGACTGTTCGAAAGCAGTTTCAAATGGATGTGGACTTGTTTCTTCCCACCTCGATTGCCTGAAACGAGCGACATCGGGAAGAGATAAATCCTGTCGCAATATGAATGGCAAAGAGGCAGGCACTTGTACGCGAAGGCTCCAGGAATGAAGCATCCTTCATACGCTGATTTCGGATCGATAGAGATGGCAGGGGAGATGCCTGCAATGTCGATTCAATTGTCAAGGGAGAGACTCTAGCTTGCCCGTTCACCCTTCAGCCATTTCTATGGATTGAATAGGGATATGAGCAAAAGAGAAGAGCAGACGAAAAGAGAGCCGCCATTCAATGGGGTCTAGCAGGAAGGTTGTCATCTCAGGCTGGGCATGATGGTCGCAGGAAAGGGAAAACGGAATGACCCTTCAGATCGCCTACTCCCCATGAGCGGCCATCCTTCTTATAAATGTGAGGTCGAAAACTTCATTTATCGTTCGCTGACTGTCATATCAGTATATATGGCTAGCTGCAGGGGGGAGGGGAAGGGGGGTGGATAGAAGATAAATAGAAATTCTAGAGCTGCCAGGATTTTGCATGGAATTATCCTTTATCTTCTTGCACTTTCTCAAGTCGAAGGCCATGCGACAGTCAATCCCACCTACATGGAACCAATAATATCCATAAATCATTCACAGGTTATTTATATCGATTCTGAGAGCTCGTGGGGAAGAAACTAAGAAGTGGGTGTAACGCTTTCAGGATTTTGTATGCATCGCCCTCTCCGGGGTGCTTCAGTTTTGTGTTTTTATTCTAAACACCTGGATTTTGGGAAGCGTTCCATCTCAAACATAGTCTCTCACCCAGAAGGTTCGTATGGTTTCCAAATCCGTTTTTCGTGAATGATGCAGTGGTACGGGACCCCGGAGCACGATCTGTTCACGGAATTCTTTCACATGCGGGTCGTGAATCCGGACTTGGAGTTCTTTCTCTTGCATCCTGAGGTTATGTGGGAACTTTGGGAATTCCTCCAACGCAATACTCCGTCCAAGATTCTCCGAAATCCCCCTTCATCCGGTTTCCTTGGTGAGTCACATCCCACGGAACTCTATCGATCTTCCCTCTCTTCCCTCCCTCCATCCGCTCATTCCGTATTTCCAGGCATTTATCTGAATTCGAGAGAAAACGTCTCGTGCTGGGAAACGGGGAAGAATAAAATGAACATAGATGCCTTCCTTCATCCATTCTATGGAACAGAATTACATCGTAAAAAAAGTGCCATTCCACGCCATCTACTACTCTTGTTCCATTCACTCCTAATTCTCACTCACCATTCTCTGCAACTACGCACCGTTCATACTCGTACATGTGAAACTTACCAGCTTTACTGTCGTTCCTCGCCATTAACAAGCAGTCTAGCATGCATTTTATTCCCCATTATTTTCTTTGAGTCTGGGAGAGAGCTTTACCTCTTGCTTTGACATTTAATTACGTGGAAATCCAAGGAATCTTCCCCATAATAGATTTCCCAACTCCAGAGTAGTTCCTTAAGTCTGCTAAGAGAGAGCTGTTCGATATCAAGAGGTAGTATGTTATTATGTCATGCTGGGAAAAGGCTGCTGGGAAGCTTGCCAAGAGAGCAGATTGCCTCCTGATGGGTGGATGGTACATTCCTTCCACTCTTCATCCGACTTTCATCCCTTTTCATATCTCGCATATGCATTTCCAAGCGCTTTGATTCCTTATGGTTTTTGTCTTGGAGGGGTGGCATTGATGCTGCATCACTGCAAGTGGGTGGACGTGTACGAATACGTGCCATCGATGAGGCTGACGCCTAGGTGTTACTATTTCGACAAGATGGAAGACGTGAGTTGCACCCTTGGTGGGTGGCACCCATTGGCTACGGAGAAACTTTTAGCCCTGGCCATGAGCACCGCCTCCGATCACGACGTCTTTCGACGGGGATTCCTTCGTCTCAAAGGCTTCTCACAAGTCAACTGCCCTTGATCATCTCCCCTCACGGATCACGAACTTTGCCATCATTGTTCTATGGTACACAATGAAAATCCCGGAGATGCTCAATCGACCAAGACGTGCTGCTATTTCATTTCCAGTGATATTGCCATTGACGGTGGCTTATTTTTTGGGTGCTCACGCACCCCATGAAAGTCAATACGCCGAATGGACACGAACCATGCATCTACAATAAATGTTCGAAGTGACTAATGCTTACGGATTGCCAAATATTATCGTTTCTGGAACTTCTGCCGAACGTTTCGTCGTGTCCCCGCTGGAATCATGCGACAGGGCGGGAGATCCACCGCATGCATATCAGGCAAGTGACAGGCAGCAAACATGCTGCCGGTGCGATAATCTGTTAGGCATTGCCGAGGCTCAAGACCTATGAATGCGCCCTCTCTCTGAAATCCCAGCTAGCCCTACCCCCATCCAAACCCCTCAAAACCCAGGTAGCCTCCAATCCCCCCGTGAGGTCAGATCCCTGGGGTGCTTTGATGCTTCGAGTGTGGTTCAGGGGCAAGTACGTTCCAAGAGACATACTTCGGTCGAAAAGAAAACCAATGAGGTATTTTCTCAGTAGTGGTGATAGGTGCAGGAGGCGAGGATGAAACGACGACATTGGGATGCAACAGATTTTCGACATCCCAAAATAACAGATCGTTACACATAATTTTCCTGAAAATTCAATGGAAATCACTAAAGTTCTATTATTATTATTTTCGACCCTCCTTTACAAGTGCAACTTTTTATTTGTCACCTTGTTAATCATGCAGGACGACCAGGAAAAGCGGGACAGTATGCACAATGACATCAAGTGTCTGTTGTTTTTTTTATTCTGGAGCATCATTCCCAAGAGTATCACATTCACAATCACATGGTAATAACCTGATCAGACCTATAGTATTCTGTAATCAAACATGAAGGAATGAACAGGAAGAACAGTGAAGGGGGAGTGAGACAATGAAGGAGAGGAAAGTAGAGAAGTAAAATTTTTTTTCCCAGTCAAACCTTTTGCAAAACTTAGAATTAATACTTTAGAGAGATATGGCATGCAATATGTCAAGAAAAAGACACTGAAGTGACTGTCAGGATATAAATATGCTAGCCTATGGTACCTTGTGAAATAGGCTAACAACTGCAGGCTTCTGTCAAGAGTAGAAGGGCTGATGAACTAAGCGAATTGCTCGGATTTGGAAATACAAGTTCAATAGGATTAATTGAGTACAAATAAGTGGAGCCTTGATAGACGAGGGAACGCTGATGATTTTTTTGCTTGAGACCTTTACCGTCACTTTCTCTTGGAGGGCGCGTGGGATGGAAAGGAAAAGAGATTCTTGAGATATGAGGATGCTTTATCCTTAATACATTTATGTGCCATTTCGGCTATCTCTGATGTAATGAAGATTGGAACAGACAGCCATCCTGGTCTCTGGATCAGAGCAGGCGAAGGACAGTAGTTGTTCATCGTATATTCAGCTTGGAGGTTTTTTTTTTTTTAAACAGGATATTGAGACCATTTTCTTCGGGTATTTGGGCACAATTGACAAGAACAAGCAGGCGGTACCTCTGATGTGACAGAATCAATGCGTCGACTACCAGCAATATGCCCGGGCAGGCGAAGGAGGTCAGACTTCTTAAAAGATAATTTCTTACGTTTCTTAGAGACTTTCATGTAGTGAGATGAGTAAGATGATTGTACAAATGGAAACCGAGGAATTTTAAACGGGCACGATACTGGATCATGTCAGACGGTGACTGCTGGAGATGTTGTGATGTTTGCATTTGTGTTTGGAGGAAGATGGAGTGAAGAGCGTGCATTTCGTTTTTTTTTTTAATACTGCTCTTCGCATTCCAGTTGATGTCAGATATCATATTGGAGATGAGCTTCAATATCACTGATGCAGCTGCCTGAGGTAAAACGTGTTGTTATCAGCATACAGTTCAATGGAGCAATAATGTAAGCTGGAATTGGTATCATTAACAAGAGATATAGGGTCCAATTTGGGAGTTCTGAAGGACACCATTGGGGTGACTAATTAGAGTTGAACAGGCAACTCCATTGATTTTGTGAATGACATGTGTTCTTGGGAGCGGCAGAAGAGTATGTTAGCACGATTTGAGTATAGGTATTGGTTTTTGAGTTTTTTTTAGTTTTGCATTTTGTTAGAATATCGGGGTTGATGGTGTCAAAGGCTTTCGAAAAGCCAATGAAAATAGCACCTTGATCCTATCGTGAAAGAAAGTGATCCATGAACTTGATGGTGGTTGCACAGCAAGAGTGATGCTTTCTGAAGCCTGATTGATGAGGGTGATAAAACCATTCCTTTACAAGAAAACAGATGAATTAAAGAAAAAGATCCAAGATTTTACTTACAACTAGTAAGAGAGAGACGCTGGACGATAATTGTTGAGATCAGATGCACCTTCCCTTTAAAAACAAAGGAATTTTTTTAAAATATCCCATTCATTCGGCAAGTCTGCAGTGGTACTTATTCTATTTGGCATGGAAGTTAAGTTCATCTGTGCAAAAAAAAAAAGAAAAAGAAAACTTGAGGTCAAAACACTCAGAGGTCGAATGGATTTATGGTTAATTCATAAAACTTTCAGTTCTTGTGAACTTTTTCATTTTATTTAAAATTTACCATGACAAACATGATTTCCTCATCCCGAGGAGAAAGTTTGGAAACATCTTTGTGACAGTGACAATATGAATAGGACTAGACACGTACAGGGTATGATAATACAAAGACGACCCCCGACTTTTTAACCTTCATAACTCTGTTCTTAGAATTATTCTTAGGAAACTCGTACAGTGCCAAGACTGATATGTTCTCAACGCCCCTTTGAATTTCGTAAAAATTCATTCCATTACAGCAAGACTATTAGCGAGTATTGAAAATAAATCGGAAATTGAAAATGGACGGGTACTTGTGCCCCTGCAGAATGGGGCACTCCTTCCACCCTCCACCCGCCCCTCCACCAGGCCCATTTTCATTGACAAACTTATTTTGACTTATATCTCACTAGCCTTGCATAGTGAATTTTTAAAATCAAATTTCACAAGTCCCATCCAAATGTATCAGTCAATGCAAGGTGAAAGTTCTTGGAAATAGTAATAAGAACAGAGATTTTAAAATAAAAGTTCGGGTGTCATTTTGGTTTACCCTAAAGATAGGTGTTAGGATTTCTAAAAAGAGAGTTTACTCTTTATCAGTTAAGAAGGCGTTGAGTTCATCACATGGTATATGGGGGAAGACAGATGGACAAGAGGTTCTCATGGTAGCCTTTAAAGTGGTCCAGAGAGACTTACAAAGCTAAATGGTATTGATTTGTTTCCAAGCAATCACATTTGACCGGAGAGGCTCCCGCTTGGGACTAGAAAATCTTAGAGAAATGACTGGATTTGAGAACCTCCTTTTAGAAGTCAATTTTATTTTTGATGAGCTCTTTAATTGTAAGAGTATCTATTATTTTTGAAGGTGGTGAACATTAATAAATGTTCAATCATGGTATCACATGGTATCGCGCCTGAAAGATATAGTCTTGGCGTGCAATATGCATTGAGATGTTCAATTAATGTTTCTGAAGTGTTGGTCGCTCTGGTAAGCATGGAGATCAATTGATAAAGGTTTAGGGAATCACACATACTCGCAGTTTTCCATGATTTCCGCACATTTTTTCGAGCACATCCTTACACACATCTATGCATCGAAAAGTATGAAACTATCCTTCTTGCTTTCGCTTAGACAAAGCACGATTGGAGAAAGGATGAGAAATATTCCCCTCTCGTATTGTAAAGCATCTGGTACTATTGCACGAAGTCCGTTGCTAATGATTTCCAAACCCTCGAGTGAGAGAATGTCTCGAGGAGATAACAAATATATGGCATGCAACGTCCTCATCAGTCACGCTTCGAACGAGGAACAAGTAAGATTGTTTCACTCAGATAGGCAGATGAGGCTAACGTGCAGACTCATTTTGGCTCGCATTGGTTTCCCAGAGCAAGCTTGAAGCACACTTGAAACGTTTCGCTTGAGGCCTGCCAGATGGATGTGCGGCCGGCCTGAGAAAATCAATACGGACCATTGATGTTAGCGGGCCTCCGAGACGAGGTGCGTATACTTCCTCGGGAACACTTGGGGACACTGAAATAGATACTTGAATGAATGGCGATATCACTTCCCATCTCTAGCCACTGTGAACAATACCAGGGCGAGATGTGGTTTAGCTACATTTTCCCCACTGTCTTTCCTTTTCGTATAGTCTACCTGTTCATCCACTATAAGTTGATTTCGAGGCCGATGAGATGACACGATTCCGACGTGATGGGACTCTCTATCTACTTTAAAGGACACAAATTCCCTGATGTGACGTAAATGAACTGTAGACTGACATATCTCTCTCCATCGAACTCCTGGCTGCAAGACGATTCCGAAAGCACCGGTGTACGCATCCCGTCCCGCAAGTCTACTGCAATGTGGCATTGCGTAACGAAGATTCTAGTGGAAACACCATTACCAATTCGCAGGAATACCTTCGGGGTTTCGATTACCGTCTGGAATCTGATGCTGGTCACTCCTCACTTTCTTGCGGATATATGACGTTTCCATTCCATCGATTTTTCCTATGACGCGTGATCCAATATATCATCTGCTTCCCTCATTGACGTCAGTCTCGCAGATGATAATAAAGCTCGGAAATCCTCGTAGGATGGGGTGGGCACGAGCATCCTCGTGAATTCCTCTGTCTCACGATAGTGAGGAGTGAGAGAGAGAGAGAGAGAGAGAAAGGGGACCGGGAAGAGTAATCTGGCTGACTCGATTAGGCCCTGTCGTGAGATGAAAGCAAAATAATGACCTTCTCCACACCGAGGAAAAATGGGAATCTAATTGCTTTCCTTCGGGACATAGACGTGGATGGGACTTCTAGAAAAGCGACTGATTCTTTTTATCAGGAAAATAAACTCTCTCCTCTCTCTCTCTTTTCCATTGGTGTCAATTTGAAGCCTGATATCAGGTAGGCTCTCTTCTCATTAAATCGGAGCCTGATGGGAATGTCTCGTCGAGAGGAGAGAGGGAGAGAGAAACAGGACGGCAGATTAGACGTGATGCTGGGGCATTGATTTTTCCATTATAGAGCCAAGTAAGACAGAAGGGGGAGAAACGTTTGGGAGGAAGAAATGCTGACCGGAGTCAGGCCATTAT